CTCAGCGGCAGTGCGGAACACGCTGCCACCATGTTACAAGAGCTCACGACCAGGATGTCCACGTACGGCCTGCATTGGAAAGACGGTTCCCTGGAGTACATGAGCCCCGACCCGCATGCCCCGGAAAGTATCGCAATCAACGCCGTCTTCCCACCTGAGGGCTTCGGAGACCCTCCCCAACAGGGCCGGATGGTCGCGTCCAGGGTGACTTCTTCGGTACAGCTGGGTGTGTGCATCGCCGACACAGGATGTACAAAAGCCGCCATCGACCATCGCATCAGCAAAGCAATCAAACTCTTCTGGTCGGAACCGGCCTTCCGCTGTGCCGCTCTTCCCCGCAATGAGCGGCTCCGTCGCTTCAGCGAGTGCGTGGTCCCGTGTCTTCTTTACGGTTGTGACGGGTGGTTCGTATCCAAATGCGTACTCCAACGGCTCTCCCAGCTCGAAGGCGGTCTGCTGCGCCGCACGGCACGCCTTCCTCGACGGCCCGGTGAGGAGTGGATCGACTACACACGTCGAGCCACGCGAGCGGCGAGACAGCTGTACAGACAGAGCGGCCACAAGACCGTAGGTGAGTTGATACTTACCCGTATCCATCGTCTTGCCTCCCACCTCTTCGACCCCAACCCGGAGCCAGCGGAGCCCGAACAGCTTCGTCCAGTCCAGGCTCGCTGGGTCAATGCAGTCTTCAGCTCCTACGCGGAGGATGGTTGGCAAGTCACATCGGGAGTATATCGGGCGTTGGGAAGCTCTGGTCAGTTCTTGGACGAGGATGGCGTTTTACGAAAATGGAACCACCGAAGGGGATGGAAACGCCGTTCAACATGGGAAGACCCACTGATTCTCCACTACGGGACCGGTTGGCGGAAATACGCTTACCAAACAGACGAGTGGGCCAAAAAGGAAGACGACTTCGTATACAGCGTCCTGCAAAAGTGGGGCCTCAACGGCGACCTCCTCAGAGAAGAAAGGGATAGACGCATACAAGCTACCGCCATGGCCTCCGAACAGAAGCAGAAACGTCGACGCGTATTCATCGATGTCCCCATCACCTGGAGACAGCCAACCAAGTGGTGCATCCTAGCGGACTGCTGGGGTGACAACTCAACAGTGGTGGGCTGGATCAACGGCACGCTCCGGATCAACTCGCCTTAACTACAGGGCTCTGGTCTCCACCTTGCAGACACGTCTCTGGGAGCTTTGGAGCGAGTTCCGCCTTCGCACAGCCCGACGCGGTGGTCTCTGGTTCCGACACAAACTCAGAGAGGGCAACACAGCTGCCGACCTGATGGCGACGAAGGCGATCCAAGACAGAGGCGATTCCACTTCAGATTTCAGTGAAGGCTTCCGCCTTGACCCCGTCAACCCCGTGAAATTCCAGTGCAGTTTCGACGGAGGAAAACAAGGCCCCCTTGCGGGTTGTGGTTGGCATATTGCGTGCTGGGACCAAGCTTCCGGTGAGTTCCGCTCCTTTCGACAAGGGTCTGTCTTCCTCCCTGGTGCCACCTCCACCGAAGCAGAGCTTCGGGCTGCTGGCGCGCTTGTCCAAGAATTATCCCTCATTGTACGCATTTATAGGTCAAGGATCGTGGTGCACGCAGCAGCGACCGGGTGACCACTATTGACCGGGCCCACACGGCTTGTGAACTCTGGTGCCCGCACTTGCACTTGCTAGCATGTTTACCCTGTCTCACATAGCCCTTCTCGACCTCGAGATACAACGGCGGAAATGCCAAACATGTATGTATGTATGTATGTACGTATGCATGTATGTATGGATGTATGTATGCATGCATGCATGCATGTATGTATGTATGTATGTATGTATGTATGTATGTATGTATGTATACATATATATATATATATATATATATATATATGTTTTGCGACAGCTGGTGCTGACAACGTGCCCCGATGCCATATCAACGAGGAGTAGTTCCCTCTCTGAGCAATACACTTTCTCTGCTACAGTGTATTTCCTTGCTTCGCGCTCGTTCAATCTTGCATCGCGCTTCCACGGCAGTGCTGGCGTTTTCCTTCTGCTTCGCCTCAAATGCTCGGCGCCATGGCGCCATCGCTCAGCTCCCGCAGCAGAGGGACCGCGCCCAGGCGCGTACGTGAGAGCGTCCGTCCGTCCCCCCTTGTCCCGACGAGGCCAACACCGCCCCCCCTCCCCCTCCTCCTCCTCTTCCTCCTCCTCCTCCTCCTCCTCCTCCTCCTCCTCCTCCTCCTCCTCCTCCTCCTCCTCCTCCTCCTCCTCCTCCTCCTCCTCCTCTCCTCCTCCTCTCCCCCTCCTCCCCTCCTCCTCCTCCTCCTTCTCCTCCTCCTCCTCCTCCTCCTCCTCCTCCTCCTCCTCCTCCTCCTCCTCCCCCGTCCCCATCCCGCCCGAGGAGGCTCGCGAGGTGGTCGGGAAGGCGGAAAAATCCGCCACCATAGGCAAAGACACGCAGGCCGCCGCCGCCGCGACGAGCGCGGCGGATGTGGCGCCCGACCCTCTCAGGATGTCGCCGTCGTCGCTGCCCTCGCCGCCCGCCCGCCCGCCGTCGCCGTCGGCGTCGCCGCCGCCGCCAGAGCTGCCGCTGGGGAGCACGTTGGAGGCAGAGCTGTCTGTCGAGACGCTGGGGAGAGGGGGAGCAGGAGGGGGGAGGGGGCAGGAAATCCGAGCCTGACCACGAAGGATGGGTTTCCCCAGGGCTGGTCAGGGATTTGCTCCTCGAGGCTCACCCCGTGAGCCAAGCCCAGATCCTCCCCTTATCCCTGGTCTGGTCAGGGTTTCCTGACTCCTTCTAGGTGGGGGACTAGCTCCTCTGGAGGGAACTGAGGTTACGCACAGACCTGGCCAGCCTCAACGGGCTCCAACGAAACTCTCTAAGCTCGCACTGAGGTTTCAAGGAGGAGGGGGAAGAGGAAGAGGGGGATGAGGGAAGGGGGGCAGGGGGGAGGGGAAGGATGAGGAGGATGGAAGATTATGAGAGTGAGGAGAGGGAGGAGGCGCAGGGAGATGATGCTGCTGACGACGACGACGACCACGACGACGACGATGACGATGATGATGATGATGACGATGATGATGATGATGATGATGATGCTGTTGATGATGATGCTGATGATGATAATGATGATGAGGCTGATGATGATGATGCTGCTGCTGATGCTGATGCTGATTTTGACGAGGAGGAGAACAAATATGGAGGAGGAGGAGGAGGAGGAGGGATGAGGAGTATACTTATGAGGTTGATGAGGAGTTAGATGAGGAGACATGACGATGACCAGAGGCATGGTTATGCTGATGATGGTAATGACGTTGATGACGATGACGATGATGCAGATGTTGCTGATGATGACGATGACGATGCCGATGACGACGATGCTGACGCTGATGATGATGATACTGATGCTGATAACGATAACGATGACCATGACGATGTTGATGATGATGATCTGATATGATACGCTATGATTATGATGATGGTGATGATTCTGATGATGTTGATTATGCTGATGATGATGGCGATGCTGATGATGCTGCTGATGATGATGATGATGACGATGCTGATGCTGATGATGATGATGATGATGCTGATGATGATGACGATGATGCTGATGCTGATGATGATGATGATGATGATGATGCTGTTGATGGCGATGCTTATGATGCTAATGATACTGATGATGAGGATGATGACGAGGGGAATGGGGGTAATCAGGGGAGTATGACGGGGAGTGGTCGGGATGGAGTTGAGGGTGAGTACGAGGATGATGAGTACTGGTGGAAGAGCAATGATACCATGTTGATAGTGACAATGATAACACTGACGATGACGGTATCGATGACGATGATACCGATGACGACATTGACGATACATCTGATGCTGCGTATGATGACGATGACGATGATGATGGTGGTGGTGACGATGCTGATCATGACGATGATGATCTTAGTCATGATTATGATGATGATGATAGCGATGCTGATAGTGTCAGTGATGTTTATAGCGATGACGACATCTTGATAATACCAGCTAATGATAAGCATGAAGAGCTCGATGGCGATTTTGGCGATGGGCATGACGATGATGTTCTTTCGGAGGATTTGGAGTCAGAGGAGGATGATGCGGGTGATTTGGAATACGAGGATGGCGCTGACGAGGATGAGGAACGGAGTGGCAGGATGAGAAGGCGGAGGAGGGAAGATGAGGGGGCGTGATGGGAACTGGGAGGAGCAGGGGAAGGAGCAGGGGGAGGAACATGGGGGAGAAGTATGGAGGAGGTGTGGTAAGACGATGGTGAGGGTGATGTGGAGGAGGCGGGGAGCATGACGGGGGCACGAATGATTACGAGAATGGGGGAGGAGGAGGAGGAGGAGGAGGAGGAGGAGGAGGAGGAGGAGGAAGATGATCATGCGGTGATGGCCATGGTGATGAAGAGGAGGAACAAGGAACGGAGAGGAGGAATATGACGGTGATGGTGATGGCCGTGATGGTGGTGGCGTTTGTGGAGAAGATGATGAGGCGGAGGAGGTTGAAGAGGAGGGAGGATGAGGAGCAGGTGAATGTTGCGGAGATGATGAGGGTGGGAGGCGGGGGCGGAATGGAGGAGGGGGGGAAGAGGAGGTGGAGTGGGTGGGGAGGAGGAATATGGTGGGAGGAGAGAGGACGGTTGTGATAGTGAGGAGGTATGGTGGATGATGGTGATGATGAGCACGGAGGACGTTCAGGAATGATGATACCAATCACTAGTATCGAAGACGCCTACTGCGAATCACCGCCGCCCCCTGCCTTTTTGGAAGCGCCTGTGTGGCCGAACGTTGGGCTAGAGCTTGGCCAAACTATCGGACCATGTGTTCCCCCAGCCGTCGTTGAAACCCCTCGGTGAACACGTAAGGAAGAGGATAATGAGGAGAAGAAGGAGAAGGGAGGAGGATGAGGAGGAGGACGAGGAGGTGGAGGAGGAGCAGGTGGAGGAGGAGGAGTAGGAGAAGTAGAAGGAGGATGGAAAATAAGGAGGAGGACCTCTTGGGAGCCTCTTGGGGCACTCTTGGAGTCTCCTGGGAGCTTCCTGGGAGCCTCTTGGAGGCATCTTGGGGGTCTTTGGGGGCTTGTTCGGGGCCTCTTTGGCCGTCTTAGGGCGTTCCTGGGCCGTCGGGAGCGGTCTTGGGGGCCTCTCTGGACCGTCTTAGGGTTCTCTTGGGGGTGCTCCAGGGCCGTCTTGGAGGCCATCTTGGCCGTCATAGAGGCCTCTCGGTCCTTCTGGGGCCCCCCTCTGGGCCGTCTTGGAGGGCCGTCCTGGTGCCGCCCTGCCCCCTCTTGGGGGCTTCTTGGGCCGTCCTTGGGCCATCTTGGAGGCCTCTTGGGCGCTCTGGGGACGATCTTGGGGGCCTCTTGGGCCGTCTTGGGCCGTCGGAAGGCGGGAAAGAAAGCAAATGCCCCAATCCTTCACAAACCAGCGTAAAATCAATAATTTTAGCCTCTTCGGGTATTCGTGGGGGGCTTCTTTCTTGGAGGCCTCTTGGGGGCCTCTTGGACCCTTTTGGGCCGTCTTGGAGGCCATCTTGGACCTTCTTGAGCGAACTAGGAGGCCATCTTGCCCTCGTGGAGGCCATCTGGAGCCGTCTTGGTGGTTTTCCAGACGTTGAGGTGGTGTCTGGGTGGCCGGCGGCATGGACCGAACCCCTTATGGGGAGTCTTTTGGACAAGGAGCTCAAACCAAACCGTATAGGATTCAGCACGCCGGGGACCCCTGTGACAAGCACAGGGGGCGGCGGATATCGAAGACGCCTACGGCGAATCACCGCCGCCCCCTGCCTCCTAGAATCGCCCGTGTGGCCGGGCGTTATGACAAGAGCTCTGCCAAGCTATCAGACCATGTGTTCCCCCAACAGTTGTGGAAACCCTTCGGGGAACACTTGGGGGATGATGGCGGGGAAGATCAGGAGGCGGCGGAGGAGGAGGAGGTGGAGGAGGAGGAGGAGGAGGAGGAGGAGGAGGAGGAGGAGGAGGGGGTATCTTGGGAGCCTCTGGGGACACTCTTGGGGCCTCCTGGCTGGGAGCTTCCTGGAAGCCTCTTGGAGGCATCTTGGGGGCCTTCTTGGGCCTCTTGGGGACCTTTGGGGGCTTCTCGGGAGCCTTTTTGTGGCCCGTTTGACGTCGTCGGAAGCCGTCTTGGGGGCCTCTCTGGGCCGACTTGAGGCCCTCTTGGGGTGCCCCAGGGCCGTCTTGGAGGCCATCTTGGGCGTCTTGGAGGCCTCTTGGGTCGTCTTTGGGGGGCCGTCTTGGGGGCCTCTTGGGCCGTTCTGGGGCCATCCTGGAGGCCTCTTGGGCGATCTTCTGGCGATCTTTGGGTGCTCTTGGGGCGATCTTTGGCCGTCTCGGGCTTTCGGTAGGACGAAAAGAAGCAAACGCCCAAATCTTTCAAACACCTAAGGCAGACCACTGATTTTGGCCTCTTCGGGCCTTCTGGAGGCCCTCTTGGAGGTCTCTTTGGCTGTCTTGGGCAATTGGCCATCTCTGGCCGTCTTGGTGGGCTCCTGGCCCGTCTGACGCCGTCGGAAGCCGTTTTGCGGGTCTCTCTGGGCCGATTTGGGGCCCTCTTGGGTTGCTCCAAGGCCGTCTTGGAGGCCATCTTGGGCGTCTTGGAGGCCTCTTGGGCCGTCTTGGGGCCCTCTTGGTGCCGTCTTGGTGGCCTCTTGGGCCGTTCTGGGGCCATCTTCTTGGAGGCCTCTTGGGCGATCTTGCAGCGATCTTTGGGGGCTCTTGGGCCGTTTCGGGCCGTCGGAAGGCCGAAAAGAAGCAAATGCCAAAATCCTTCAAACACCTAAGGCAAACCACTGATTTTGGCATCTTCGGGCCTCTCTGCAGGCCCTCTTGGAGGTCTCTTTGGCTGTCTTGGGCCATCTTAGAGCCATGTTGGGCCGTCTTGGTGGGCTCCTGCCCAGTCGGACGCCGTCGGAAGCCGTCTTGGGGGCCCTCTCTGGGCCGACTTGGGGCCCTCTTGGGTTGCTCCAGGGCCGTCTTGGAGGCTTCCTTGGGCGTCTTAGAGGCCTCTTGGGCCGTTTTGGGGCCCTCTTGAGGCCGTCTTGGGGCCCTCTGGGGCAGTCCTGAGGCCATCTTGGAGGCCTGTTGGGCGCTCTGGGCCGTTATGGACCGTCGGAAGGTCAAAAAGGAGCAAATACGAGAATCCTTCAAAAACCTACGTAAGGACAGTAAATGATTTTGGCCTTTTCGGGCCCTCCTGGAGGACCTCTTGGAGGCCTCTTGGGCCGTCTTGGAGGCCTTTTGGGCACCTCTTGGGTCGTCTTGGGCCGTCTTGGAGGCTTCTTGGGCGGACTTGGAAGTATCTGGGACCCTTTTGGCTCGTCTTGGAGTCCATCTTGGGCATCTTGGAGGTATCTTGTTGGCCATCTTGGGCTATCTTGGCGGTCTTGAAAGCCATCTTGAGCCGTCTTGGGTATTTTTACCTAACAGCGAAGACTGATAGGTTTCTAGTGGGCTAAAAACAGCT